TTAAAATTTAAGTAGTCTACTGGAATACAGACTCTTTGAAAATATAGTCTCCATATTCTAAAGGGTAGAATATTCTCATGCCTCTTTTAAAGGCAAAAGGATGAAATGTAGTTGGATAGTAAATTCATTCCAGAGATTGACTAACACTTTAAATATTTATAATGCCAACTGGTGAAGTAAAAAAGATTTAGGCAACAGAGTTCATGTCATTGATTATATCAGTTTTAAAAGACAACCCCACAAAACAGCTGTGGGACAAACAAATCATTTCATCATGAATGAAACCTTCAAAACATATGGCAGCTTTTCACCAAATACTTGCACAATGAAAAACAGGAAAGAGAGTTATAATGGCTGAAATAAACTCTTAACACTAAGCATTTTAATTAATCAAATCCTAATCCCAATAATTAAAATGGAAACTATGTTTAAAAACTATGTAAAGAACTTTGAGTCTGCAGTCATTAGCTTGCTCAACACTGATTTTTAAAAGCGGCTTAATGAGCTCTCCTTAGGCATTTATTACAATCATTGTGCTTTGCACCAAAAATGCAAAAAAGATGAATCTATAAATTTTTTCAATGGCATCTGAAACACACAACCTTTATATGAATTGTCTAATTTTGTTCAGCATAAAGCTATTCATCTCTTAGAATCATAGCAATACTTCAGTTTTATTCTATACACATAGAGATTGGTATTGGCACAATATCATAACTTTTTAGCATGCATGTCTTCCATTTCACAGCACAGAAACACAGAAACGGATATAAAATATGTTGTGAATCGTCCATTGTTAGTCTAAGTGAGCTGGAAGATTAAAAGTTCCTGGTATGCAAGAACATAGTGTCTTCACAATGTTTAAATTCACAGTGTTTACCAAAAATTTATGATGTAAATTGAGCCCACAGTTTCAGTTATGGCTTTGCCCATGTGATAGTCCACATTAGCTGTCATTAGAGATGACTGCAATAGATCTTGTATTTAATAAGCCATTTCAATATGAAACCTCACTGTAAACAAAACCTAAAATCTAATTGCCTTAAAATTTTAGCAACTTCAATATATTCTCAATCACTTTTTTTCTCATGTACTATCAAAATTACTAGGCAGGATGTGTTTGGCAGACACTTTAAAGAAGAACAGTACAAATACTTGAACGGAACTGTTTTATGCTCTGTTTTAAAGGAGAATTATTTGAAAAGAAAGACTAGTAAACTACTTCATTACACATTTTTGCATGGGATGATTTCTATAATATTAAGAATTATTGTAAAATATGAAATGGAAACTTAACTACACAGTTGGATATTCAAATATATGAGGCACTTCTGAAGGATGGTCTCTAAAATAACTACATTTGTTGACAAAAGTACAATCTAGAATGGTGGTCTATTATCAGTTGTCAGAGTTTTGCCAATTGGAATATTTAGGAAATGAGTAACTTCTCTACATGGACTGCATTGGTTTGATCTTCATCTTCCCTGCTGATCAATAGAGAAAGTATTCGCTAGCTCTTTAAAGACACAAATGTATATGGTGCACTACTGTTTTGGAGTTAACTGCATTTAGAACATTCTAAGTAGGTACTTTCTGATACTACAAGCATATGGTCATTTTCACACAGTTCCTTTAATATAAGATGTACATTCTTTCCATCATCAGAATCTGCTTCCTTAAAGATAGCTCAGCCAAATCAGAAAATCACAGCAACTTAAAGTATTTTCCTACTTAAAGTAACAGATTTGCCAAAATCAAAAATATCTGCTTATTTCAGGAATTTGTGCCAGAAACAACTGAACATTGATCAGCATCTCAAACATTACATTTAAATATCTACTTTTATATAAAAGTAAAACTTTAAAATAATATGTATTCCAATGTTGGGTCCTGATGATTTTTTACTGGAGGTGACTAGGATAGTGGTGGAATAGTGAAGAGTACTCGGGGTGTCAGTTAAAAAGTGATCAATTGCTTTTCAAAAAGGAAATGAGATGCATTCACCCAAGTACCATTTGCCAGTCTCTGTACTTGTCCCTTTGATCTTCCTCTTCTATTATCATCAACTATTTAAAAATCTTTCTTTTAGATTCCTTTCTCATTTCTCTCATTCTCAGGAGGCCACCCTGTCTTTTGAGGCCATCAGGTAGAATTCTGAGCTCTCCTCAATTATCTAGAAACCTTTGGCTTTCTTTCTTCCTTTTCTCCCAGGGTTAAGATGTCACATTTTTATTGAAGGTCAGCCCAGTGAAATTGCTGGGCATCTCACTCCCCGACTGGAGCTGTCCAGCAGAATGCAGTGTCTCTCCCCTGTCACACACACAGCTCACACTCTGGCATAGCATGTCTACATCCTCTGATGTACCCCACCCCACACACACACTTCTCATCTTCAAATGCATGGCACCTCCCACAAAGCCCAGCAAGCAAAGGTATTCAGCTAATATAACTGAATTGAAGCTACTCATTTTTAAGCATGAGTTATTTTCAATAGCTTAAACCAAACTGAGCTTGTCCCAGATTGTCTGCTGAATGCCATAAGATTTCTGCTCCACTTTATGTTTTCAGCTCCTAAGTGACCCAAAAAGGAGAAATGAAGCATTTCCATTAACTAGGACTGCCAAGAAAAAAATACAGGATGCTCAGTCTTAACTGAATTTCAGATAAACTAGTAAAAAAAATGTAGTAAAGCATGTCCCAAATATTGTATGGGATATATTTATATTAAAAAACAATATTCATTATTCATCTGAAATTCAAATTTAACTGGGCAGCCTGTGTTTTTATATGCTAAATCTGGAAACTCTACTAGTGACTTTAAAAAACAATTTTTCAGAGGCTTCAGGGAATGCTTCCTTAAGATACACCTGGAGGTTTGTATCTGAGCTCTGCGAACTTCTCATTTAGCCAGATTTTATATCTGCTAGTTTATTTCTGAGCAGTTCAGTAACATGCTTTAGGAAATGCTGCTTATTATATAACATTTTCACTTCGCTAATTTCACAGACTTCCTTTCTAACACCATCCATCAATAATTTTAGTACAAAGAGTACTGTGATGTTGGCTCAAAATCATTAGAAAAACTAATAATCATAAGAGTTATCTATGCCTGAATTAAGTCCTGGCTACATGTTTTAATAATTAACAATTTTTGAAAATGTCCCATTTTCAATTAAAGCAGCAAGATGCACTGAGGAAAATAAGTAAATCTTTCATTTGGCATTTCTTTTCTTCATTAACCAAGCACAGCAATATGCCCTGTCCTCACTAACAGGCTGGGAGAAACAGCCTGGCATGCGGAGGTGGAGCCTATGATGTAACTGCACCAGGTCTTTGTTGGAAGAGCCTTCCCTAAATGTGAAATATCTGTAAACTGAAGCTCTTTGGCTTCTCTAGGCATGGGCTGGCAAGAGAAAAGAGTTGCCTCTTTCATCATCTTGAACCGGTAGGCTTGAAATTTTGGTCAACAAATGAATTCTTTATAGGTCTCTTAGAAGGTTACATAGCTGTCTTACCAAAAGTGGGAAGGAGGCAGACTTTTTCTGAAAAGGAGTACCATTTTAGAGTACTGACTGCTGTGTGTGACAGTGATGGTGCAATAGAAGTTATAAACCAAAGTGAAAGGAAAGATGCCTGAGACTATTCCAACCCTAAAAGTTTCCTACAATAATGAGTTCTCCCTCAGTGTTCTCCACAGTGATGTCTTGCAGAGAAGGCATTCATTTCCTATTCCAATGAAAGACATTAAGGTGAGAGGAATACCCCCCAATGGAGAGGGATACAAGCATGTGCCTTTGCAAAAATTTCAACTAGATTCACCACAGAGAAAACTTCTAGGGAAAGAACGACTAAGACTGCTGTAACTACATGTTGTCATAAGAAGATAATTGTTTAAAACATTTATCCAAATATAATCACACTCCCTGCTTTTTCCATCATACTGGCAGCCTGAGAACGGTTGTCAAGTGACCGACACAACACGCATACACTGCAGAGATGCAGAACAATGCCTGGAGCCCTGCCCAAAATTGGTCTCTCCAAATGACAGACTTAATTTATGGTACCAGTCTAAAGCTCAATGGATTTAGCACTGTCTTTTTCCTATTGGTGGGGGAAAGGGTGAAATTTGGAAAGCTCAAGACACTGGTTGGGGCTTCCACCTGCCTGTGCAGAGTAGATAAGGCTGACAAACATATTCATTAAACTTGATCTGAAGCAAGAGAGCCTTTGAGGTCGTTTCTGAAATATTCATAAGGTGTGTTACCGAACTTGCCACTTAAAGAGGTTGAGCAGAAACACTGTGCGTAGGAGAAGTCAGTGCCCACACTTAGGGGGAAAAGCCACTTGGAAAAACAGCACATCCCACTACCACACGCCACTGTTCTGCTTTTAACAGCTCGGTCAGCTGTTGTCCCCCTATTCTCCTATTAAATCCCACCTGCCCAGGAAAGAGATGCTCTTAAATCCGCAGTTTCCTGGCAGTTGGAGGGGGCGCAGCGAGCCAGCCCCTCAGACAGCTCCTCCGGGGTTAAAGCGCAGAAGCCCCCAACTCCAGCGCCTTGCACCACCCTAGGGGCGCATGACTAGAGGGTCTCTCGGGACCAGGACCGGCCCCTCGCCCCAGCCAGGCCGCCCTTTGTCCCCGCTTGCCGTTTTGGCCTCTGGAAACCCTTCCCCGCAGCCCGCGGTCTTCAGTCGCTAGGCGACCTGCTCCCAGGCTGAAATGCTTCCAGGGCTGACCTGCAGTTCCTCGGGGATTAATTTCGGGGAGGGGATAGGATGGGGAGAAGACTGTGATCCGCGGTGACCCCAGAGCTCCGGGCACCCAGGTGGTGTGCACTTTCATTCATGTTACTCCCTCGGCCCCAAGCTTCACATTTCTGCGACGCCCCAGATAAGCGCAGCTCTCGCAGGGCGCCTCGCGTCCTCGCCGCCACCTCTCTCCCCTCCAAGGGCATTCAGTAACCCTGGCTCCTCAGCTCCCCCGGGGTCGCACTCACCTGGACGCGGACTGCGACAGGCTCAGCAGCTCCCAGCACGCAGCAGGGCGGTCTCCATCTCGCCTTCCCTGGACGCTCGGGCTGCGCGCTCAGCAGCAGCGATCGACGCGGTTGGTCACCGCGCCGGGGCTGGACAGAGGCGGCGGCGGCTGCTGCACTAGCTGCGGGAGCCGGAGAGGCGGGGGCGGGGCAGGAATCCGGGTCGGGCGGAGGAGCGGAGCAGGCGGGATGCACCCTGGGCGGCGGGCGGCAAGGAGGCGGCGCGGAGCGGGCGGGGAGGGCGAGCAGAGGTTTCCCTGGGAGCGCAACGCGGGCGGCTACTGAGCATGCCCAGTCCGGAGCCCCGGGCGCGGGCGCGGTGCGAGCGGAGTGAGCTGGGCCCGGCGCCGAGTCTAGGGGGAAAGGGTTAAACCTGCGGACCTGGCCGCTGCCGGCCAAGGGCGGAGAGCTGGCTGCAGTGGACCAGTTTAATTGCACCCGGAGCGACACCACCCCCAGCCTTCCAAGGGCGCCCATGACAGGAAGATGGTGAGCCAGGGAAGACTTGTCAATGGAATTCCTTTAGAGTCCGGGGCAAGGTATGTTCCCCGGCCCTTCCCTAGAGAATTTTCCAAAAGTCAGAGTTTGTATTTAGCTCAGCTTCGTCCTGGCCACCTCACTGAGGATCCAGATACTCAACCCTCACTTACTTTTCTGCTCCCAGGGACCTCCCAGGCAGCCTCCTCCTCCCGACTCCTGGACTGGTCAGGTCAAGTTGTCAAAGAGCCAGCTCTTTAATTAGGTGTAACTGAGGGATTGAGTCAACCTCCCGGGTCTATATCTGCATTTCAACCAGGGCTTCAGAAACACAGTACCTTAACCCCGGGGTTAATTATAATGGGATGAATTATAGACCCTGAAGTCGGTCTGAGGCTCTTTGGGAAACAGCCTTTGCAGGGCAAGCAAAGGGCTGGCCCCACAGCTCCCCTGCACCACACCGTGCCGGGTTACACGCTCGCGCGCGCGCACACACACACAGAAGGGGGGGGGGTTGGAGACCTGTGACTTTCTTCGTGATTGTATTTCGTGTTTGATGAAGAAGGTCTTCATAGCTAAATAAAAAAAGCTTCCTATACTAGAGGCAGCATAAGGTCGGGGAAAGAGATCGGAGTCTGAAATTGACATTGATTTCAGTTTCATTTTCCTTCCCAAGGAGGTTAGTTAGCCATTCTGCACCTCTGTCTCCTCCTCCAAGGCGGAGGGTGGTAATGCGTACCTCTCGGCTGTTGGGACAAAGAGCAGCCCTGGTAGCCAACACCTGTAACATAGTAAGTGTTCACTGAATAATTCAATGAGCTTCTGAGGGTTCCACCTCCACCATTCTGCTTTTATGAAAGGTTGAGTTAGTAATAATCCTTAAGTGGTGAACATTTATTGTGTCTCCCTTTCATATTAAGTAACTTTAAAACCATAACGTTTCTGAGTTTTTACTCAGTTTTACTGAGTTTTATGAAAAGCATTAGCCGGCTGGGCATGGTGGACACACCTGTGATTTCAGCACTTGGGAGGCTGAGGCAGGAGGATCACCAAGAGTTTGAAGGCAGCCTGGACAACATAGTGAGTTCAAGGCCAGCCTGAACTAAATAGTGAGACCCTGTCTCAAAACAAAAACAAAAACAAAAAACCTAAAAGCATTAGCCACTATTTACTTGCCTTTCCACTCTCCAGTTTCTTCATACTTTCACGACTAAATCCTTTGGAAAAAGCTAGTCCAAGACTTTGTGATGGGTGTCGGGGGAGCTTTTTCAGTAGAAATTCATTAGAGACAGCGTTTTCCATGTGGCAAGAGAATCTCCCTCTACAGTCTTTTAAAAGTAATTTAATTTACTTGCACCCCCTGTGTTCCTTGTTGCATGACTACTGTAGGAAGTAATGCACCCATGTATGAAAGGAAATTTACTTCTCATACTGTCCACTGTTTAAGGTATCAACTTGCAAAAAACCTGAACTTTTCATTATCCACCAATCATACTATGTTCTTTATATACCATACTGATGGCATTCTGCTCTTTCTGTGATACCCCTCTCTTTCCATCCCAATTCTTGAAGTCCTAATGCACTCTTCAAGCTAAAATGCAACCTTCTCTGAATACTTACCTCAATCACCAAGACACAGTTAATTCTCTGCTGTCACAGCTCCAGTGCATACTGCTAGTACAGCACTTAGCACAGTCTATTACTGTTGTTTAAGCAATGTAAAACTGTTTACTGAGTAACTATTTATGTGCAGATACTATCCTATGTGTTGTTTGGAAAACAACAAAGAAGGCCAACAAGCTTCCTGCCCTCATGAAATTTACAATCTTCTTGAAAAGAATATGCAATAAACACCTAAACTAGAATTAATCCTCAAGGACAGAGGTCAAGTATTGTTTGTTTTTGTCTTATCCAGCAAATTAATCTATAGGGTCTTGACTCATGCTTGCAAGAAACATCAATAAAATATTAATATTGGCCCTAGGCTGACCAAAGTGTTTGGACATGGATCTGTGCCAATTTGTTGCTGAACCAAAAATTTTTGCTCCTTCCCCTTGATCAGCTAAAACTGTCCTAATCTGGACTCGCTCTATATACACACCTGCCATCCAGTGTGATGAATGCAAGGCAATGAGGGAGGGACAGTGAGTTTCATTTCTACAGTAAATTACATCCTTTCTTTAACCTGAGGGAACAGCATTTCTCCAATAGTCAGAGTCAACTTGGATTCCCTTATCTCCTGCATTCCAAATAGCTCTTCTGGGATCTTGCACCACTTCCAGTCCCTTCCCATCTTGCCACTTTTGATCTCTACTTATGTCAATTCTTATTCTCTGTCATATGTCATCTGACTCTTTGGATCTATGTCCTGGCCATGACTTAAGCTTTTCTCTCTGATCCTCTTATTGTTTGAGTGTGAGGCAGACTTGGCAATACTTAGAACCAGCTCTTCCAAAGAATATTTGCACACGTGTTCCATAACAAGCAGCAAGACTTGTTTAATGTGAGCAACTCCAGGGCCAGGTCTCATTCATGCTTTTATTATAGAACTTAGAAGATGAACAATATGTAATAGATTCTCAATAGAAGTTTGTGAAATGAATGAATGTATGTATGCAGCTTCTCAACTGTATTTGGTTCCTCAGATCATAGGTTTTGTTTTGTTTTTCCCTAATTGGTCTTCCTTTAACCCTAGAATTGATTCATTAGGATTTTGGCTCAATTTTACCCTTTCTTTCTGTGCTAATTTCCTTCCAGTCACAAATCAACATGTTTCTCCACCTCTGGGCTCTGAATTATTTTTGGATAACAGATTAACATGTAATCAACAAAGAAGGTGGTTGAAGAAACTGAGATTGTGTGATCTAGTATTTACAAAGAATAAGGACCCACAGAGGAGGATATTATATCCAAAGTTACAGCAGGAGAGCTGAAGAGGAAGGGAAAGAGCTAGGAGCTGCTGGCTCTCTCATCTACCTAAGACTGCACATTGGCTCGTTGTAAGTGACACAGAGCTTGGATCTTTTCCAGATAGGTGGACATACTTCCTTGTTCAGGAGATCTCTTACTGAACATCATCCTTAGGAATTTATTTGAATAAAAATTTCTCCACCCAGATGTTTCCTTCTTTAGCAAGGTTAGATTGAGCAATGGGAAAATAGGAATTTCCTGCCTGGATCATTTTGTGGGTGTGTGGAAATCATGGCCCATTTATTTGGTTTTAGTCTAGCTCTGGTTTTAATCACAATCCTTAGAACTAGGGATAGACTAAAACCAGGGCTAGACTAAAACCAGAGATAGAACCTGGAGACTGGTAGTACAGAAGTATTCTTTGGTGTTTTGACTTGATAATAAAACTAAAAAGGAAGCCTCTGGATATAAGTATTAGGCCTTATCTATTTTGCTTAACTGTGTAAAATTTATAAATTATAAAGCCACACTTTTCTAATAAAATGTATTTTATAGACCTATGTATTTTTGGGTATAATACTGAAATGGCAGACAGACTTAACATATCTATTAATATCTCTAGTGATGAAATTGTGATGGGATTTACATGAAAGTTAATCATCATATTAGAGAATACTTTAAACCAAATAAACTAAAACTCTTAGACATGCTGCTATAGCAGTTCTTAAAATGTGATCTAGAAGTAAGGCTTTCCAATAACCTAAGGACTGGTCCAAAATGCAATTCAGTTAGTTATTTATGGAACATCCAGTTTATAGAAGATACTGCTAGATACTGGGAATACAAAGATAGATAAGACACCATTTATAATTTTGAGGAATTCATATTTGTCTAGAAGCATAAGCATGTGTACACCGAACACATATGCATGATATGGGATTTTTCTCAATGCATGTTTGTTTCTAGTATAGAATTAAATCTGTATTAAGACCCCTCTTCTCTCATCTCAGTTGTCTACACTACTCTATGTGTACTTGCTTTTAAAGGTATCCTTCCCTCAAGATAATAAAGATTAAAATCTGTGAGTTCTGATCCATAGGTCCTGAATCCTTCCAGGTAACTCCAATGAAGTTTAATCACTAAAAGATGACTTATGCTGCAAGAATCTAAGAGCAAAAAATTGATATCAGACAACAGAGTAAAACAATATTTTGTGACTGACACTGCATATGATGTTCCTACTTAGAAATTTTAATGGGCTAATCCTATTTTGTCTTTATATATGGGAAGCCCCTGGAAGAGGTATTTACACTAATACCCTGGCACACCTCTGCTTGACAGCTTCTATACCATCATTTATTTTTAAGGAAGAAATATCCATTTTTGAAAGCCTAAAGTTCAGTAAAATTTTGTGGATGGAAGAAAATTTAGGCTTCTATAAGCTTGTAAAAGTCAGGTTGCAGATCAAATTAAGATGGAAGTGAAAACCTTTAATGAAACTCTGCAATGGCAAGATGACTGTTTTTATGCCAAGATAAACTTTCAGAGAAATGAAAAATACAGTATACATTAAATTATTCAGCATGGGCAGCAAATAAAAAAAGTCTATTGAAAATGAAGTAACCATATGTGACCTAAATTATACAAAACTAGATGGGAATATTTTTTACTTTGTAAGTGGTGTGGAGGAGACATAGGCAACTATGACATCATTTCCTTTAATAGTCAAAAACCCAGCCAATTACTTAGATCTCAGTGGTGGAGTTAAGAAAAACTCAACACTGTTTTAAGTGGAATAGTCAATTTTGCTATCATGGTGAATGACATCATCCAAGACTGCTGGAAAATGGAGCTCATGGTCCCTCTGTTGATCAGTTTGAAGGAATTTATGTCTAGAATTCTCAAGATACATTCAGTGCTATCCAACTCCCCTTACAACCATCACTGACTTGGAGGATAAAGTTGAAAAGATAAATTTTGGCTGGCTTGAAGCTTTTTAATCTGTTAGCCATCCTAGAGAAAGGGACAGATCTTATTACTGGGAAGAAAATGTGTACCCTTTTGGGAAAAAGAAAAAAAAGAAGAGAGGGGTAGAGGAAAGTCAGTAATCAGTAAAGCAAAATCTCTCATCTATTCTTTTTTCGGGAATAGA